CTGTCCGAAGAAGCTACAATGCTTCATCTTCATGACTTCATTACATGGGTGACGGATTCCTGTACAGAAATTAGAATGGTCCGTCGTCATACGCTGCCAGCTACACCCTACCATACCGCTAGCGGTCCTGTCATTAATGCCTCCAAAGGCCGCCACACCTACGAACCAACCAATGAACCAAGCATAAATTGAACCCACCGTTCCTGCTGCTCCTGCTCTTGCTTGGCAATCCAAGAAGAGAGGGGAGGACGGAGCTCACGAGCAAGCAAAGCATAAGCAGCAATGGGGATCTGCTGCAGCAAGGCGGCAGCAGGGGAGCTGGACGACGACGAGGGCCTGGGCTTCCCATGGATGCACGACGACCTGTTCCACAGCCGCCTCTTGGCCAGCGCCGGCGTCTCCGTGCACACCAAGCAGGGGTGGAAGGGCGCCAACCAGGACGCCATGACCGTCTCCCAGGTGCATCACCGAACCCTCCCTCTCTCTCTCTCTCTTCTCTGCTTGCACCTTGGATTGGTTGCAGAGCTTGTGCGGTTGTGCCTACTAGTTCGTCCGTCGCACTTGGTAGCTCCTTGCACAGCTGATATTGTCCAACCAGCAAGAATGATAGCAATTAAGAAACCTGAAATATCTTTGGATAATATGATGATTTCCCTTCCGTATACATGACTAATCTTCTCGCTGTGTATGTGTGTTTTGCCAATATGCAATCTGTTCATGGTGTTGCTACAACTTCCAATACAATGCAAGTTGTATCTACCAACTTAGTTTGAGCAAAGTGCACTAGATCTATCATTTATCTACTATAGCTGCTAAGAATTGGAAATCTAACAACCTGAGATGTTAGTAGAAGGGGAAAAAAAACTGATCTTTTTAGCAACCTGAAATTATGTACTTCACCATCTTTATTGCCCACACTACCAGTGTCCTGAGAGCTTGCATTGTACATGAACCTGGTGCCTGGGCCGGAACATTTAAAGCTATGTTGGCACACCCATATATTTGGACCTTTATTATTAGCATCTCCAATGCAAGTACATTGACTTATCTCTTGTACTCCTGCCATTCGCTTGATCTTGATGAGTCTCAATTGTGTCAAGATGTTTAGGACTTTGCTGGCCACAAAGGCCACATTTTCTGCGGGGTATTTGATGGCCATGGCCCTCTTGGCCGGGAAGTTGCTCGTCATGTTCGCGACACCCTTCCAGTGAAACTAGCCTCTGCTCTGAAACCGAAAACTTCAGATGAAGATTCCTCGGGGGGTAATTTGAAGCTCAGAACTGAAGAAGATGACTCGAGCAGTAATTTGAAGCTCAAACCTGAAGAAGACGATTCAAGCAGTAATTTGAAGCTCAAACCTGAAGAAGATGATTCAAGCAATAATTTGAAGGTCAAACCTGAAAAAGATGATTCAAGCAACAATTTGAAGCTCAAATCTGAAGAAGATGATTCCAGCAACAGTGTGAAGCTCAGAACTGAAGAAGATCCCTCAAGCAACACTGATTTGGATTCCTTTGACAAGTCAGATAGCAGCTCGTCCAGTGATGATACAAGCGATGAGAGCCAGCTGTTGTCCACTTGGAAGAACATATTCGTGAAGACATTTGAGCAGGTGGACGAGGAGCTGAGGCAACATTCAGGAATTGACTGCATTTGTAGCGGCACAACTGCAGTTGCTGCTGTTAGGCAGGTACTGATTCTACTACTCTTACTGATTTACTTGTAATGTAACCACTGGCTGTCATTTGCAATCATGCATGTTTCAGACTTTCAGTTGTAGATACAAATCCTAAAAACTACACCTTAAATGCTAAATCAACATATGTAAAGCATAAGCCTCATTTATTCTGCTTCCCAACTGTCTTTATTCACAGGGTGATAACTTGATCGTTGCCAATTTGGGAGATTCACGTGCTGTCCTTTGCACCAGGGACAGCAAGGACCGTCTGATCCCCGTCCAGCTCACCACTGACTTGAAGCCAGATCTTCCAAGTGAGCGTCCAAACTTCTCATCTCATGATCTTCGGCACATGCACATGAATACACATCTTGACTGCACTTTGCATTATTCCTGTACACATGGCAACAGGCGAGCTTGCAAGGATCCTGGACTGCAAGGGAAGAGTGTTCGCCATGGACGACGAACCGGACGTGCCTAGGATGTGGCTGCCGGACCAGGATGCGCCGGGCCTCGCCATGGCAAGGGCCTTCGGTGACTTCTGCCTGAAGAACCATGGCCTTATCTGCACACCTGAAGTCTACTGCAGGAAACTGTCCGAGAAAGATGAGTTCTTGGTGCTTGCTACTGACGGGGTAATCAAAAGAGGGGAATGTGATCATTTATTTGATTGGCAGTTTCAGATTCCTGTCACTTTCCGTCCATTAACTGTCCTTGGTTTCTTTAATCAGAAAGGCCTGCATGCAACTCTATTCCAAATGATCTGGGTACAGAATAGCATAAAAAGTCCCTTTCAGATTAGACCCACAAAAGAAACTGTTAACCGTAACCATACATGCATATCACTATCCTCTATTTATTGTCAATTTGTCATGATAGTTTTAGCTGATAATGATTGTTTATGCAATAGACAAAAGTCTCAGACGGTGGTTCTACTGTAGCACGAGCAACAAAGTCTGAATTTTTCTTGCTGCCAAAACCTTAGAATGAGCAAGAAAGCCTGAATTTTCCTTTGCTGCCATTCAAAACCTGCTGCAGATTTGGGACGTGCTGTCGAACAAGGAGGTGGTGAAGCTGGTGTCATCGGCGACCGACCCATCCAAGGCGGCGAGGCAGCTGATCGATCGTGCGGTCCGAGCGTGGCGGCGCAAGTACCCGACGTCCATGGTGGACGACTGCGCCGTCGTGTGCCTGTACCTGAACCGGCGGGCCTCTCCTGGTCCTGACGACAGCCTGCTCCGAGTCCCAGGCACAGGAGGCAACGACGTGAAGCCGCCGGCCGTGCCGTTCACGGGCAGCAGCTTCCGCAGGGCTCTGTCGAGTAACGGCGGCGGCGAGGCGTCGTCGGAGGAGGGGGCGACGGTGTGGAGAGCGCTGGAGGGGGTGGCGCGGGCAAACTCGGTGATCAGGCTGCCACGGCTGGGGCGCGTGCTGAGCTGGCGGAGGCGGTCGAGCTCGCTGGACGAAGACGACGGCGAGGAGCGGGATTGATCATCATCAATTCCTGGCCAAATTGAAGGGAGGCCATCGTTTTCATGGCGGGTTGACGTATAAATTCATTCGTGCATGAACCGATGGACCCGAGGCAACCAAATTGAAAAGGAATTTCAATTTCTAGGATTTGATTGGCGTAATGGACCTGTCGCATTCAGGTTGTTGAAACGGATGAGGTGATATGGATAGGAGTAGCATTTCTTCATTCCCAGGCTGAATCTCAATCTGAATGGTTGTTCTTGTTCATCCTGCTCGCATGTGGCTTCAAACAGATATAGTACTACTGCTACTTAACAGTGCGTGACTGGTTGCGTGAACCGTCAAGGGTTTGCCGTTTGCGTTTGCTGTAACTGTAATTTGTTGGTGCGATTAGTTTGTGACACCATATCAACATGATCGGTCTATCATCTATGGAAATGGAATGGTTACTCATTCTTAAATTTAATGATGAAATCATTGCTTGATGCATGGTGGGGTGGCAACTGGATGGGATATGTATGCAGGCATGCATTTTTTTAACTCTGTTGTTGGGCTGCACTGTGCACTGGGCCGTATCTTATTATTTGTTGGGCTTGGGCCAAAAGCCAGACAGGCGTTCGATTTTGATGTCCAGTAACCCAGGGTACCTTGGCGCTGGAAATGGAACTATCATGTTTGGAGCATCGTTGTTTTCTTTTTTTTTTTTAATTTCGGACTTTCTATTACTCATCCGACACAACCAAATAGCTGGTCACCAAACCCTTAAGCTCCTGAGGTACAGGATCCCAAGTGGTGTTTGTGCCACTAGGAAGAGTACAACCATGTTTCAAAAAAAAAAGGAAGAGTACAACCAACTGTGGGCAAAGCATGTGAGAGTCCGAAATATTATAAGTATGTTTGCAACAAGAGCTAAATTCAGAACTAATACGAAACTTCATCTCAGTTATAATGCCCCCTATTGCTGAGTAGTCTGAAATCATCACTCATGAGCGCCGCCTGAACCTGTGTAGCATCGGTGTCAAGCCAGACATTTCGCACCCCCTATTCTGGCCGCCTCCTTCAGACCTGCATGACAGGCTACAAGTTCTGAGTGGAATGCATCCAGCAGAGAACCTTCTCCACCTGCACCGGCCCTGATCACCGCTCCCTGGGCATCCCTGATGACAGAAACCCCAGCCTCCATCCTACCTGACTGGATTGAAAGCTCCATCTGAATTTATTTTCAGCAAACCAACCCTCTGGCGGTCGCACCCACTGAATCCTCTGACGGATTTCCGACAACGGTTTCATCGTCAGTGAGTTCATCGTTTTCTGCACTGCAGCTACCAATGCTAATTTGGAGAAAGCAGACATGGAAGCTTCAATTGATAAATAAATAGAATATCATTTATTTGTTCGATGGCAGTTAAGTTGAGCTGTTGTATTTTATTGAAAAATGTAGGCCCATGCTGCATCTGAATGCTGAAGCACCGCTGCTGACGTGGTAATGGATTAACGTTTCAAACCTCATCTACAATGCAGCTGCTCTTAAGGTGACCGTGCACTGTAGTCTGTAGCATAAGGAACAGATTTCTTTCACTAACATTTATTATGTTTACATAATAGAAATAGCTCTGGCTGCCTGGCCTGTGTCCTCTCTAAGAACATAAATCAAAATAACCACGATTATTACAGACTCTGGACTGTGCCAAGTTTCATAAGAAAATAAAACCACAATGTTTGTTTGTTGATATTATTCAATACATTGATTGATCTCAAGAAAAACACACAAGCTAGGGAACAGAACAACGACATGAGTACATGACAAGAGTTGAACTTCCGCGCTCATAGCTGGTTTGGTTTGCATATGCTAACTCTGCTGCTGCTGTGAATCCAACTTGTTCTTGGCTGTTTCCACAAGCGTCTGAAGCGTCACATGACCTTCCTTCTCATCAGCACCGCCGGTCATAACCACGTACCTTTCTAGGTGAGCCATGGCCTCCACGGCGGCGTCCAGTTTCTGAACAATGTTCACCTGCCGGAAGTAGTCCAAATAAGCAGGGCTGATGGCGGTGTCGATTTCTGCCACCCACGTAACCAGCTTAGTCACGGACTTCATGATCGCCAGGCAAATTTCATCGTCGCTGTCGTTCGTCACCTCATCGATGATCCTCTCCAGCTTCTCTGCAAAAACATTGTTCCCCATTGGAAGCAGCCCTGTCACCGCATCCGCAAAAGCCTCCGCGGTCGCGAGCTTCTCACAGATCTGCACTGCAAGGCCTAAGAACGACGCGAGAAACCTCATGTCCATGCCAGTTTCAGTTACTATCGCTTTAAGTACCTGCAGCAGCAGCAATGGAAAAGAAAAGAAAAAAAAAAAAGATTCATAAGCTGCCAGTGAGGAGGAGAAGAAGAACTGTTGTATGTCGGCTCACCTCATCGAATTCGTTTCAGTACCTGCGGCGTTTGAACACTACTAGTACGACGACAAAGAAAACTTGCAACCTAAAATACTGAAAATTTGTTTTACTGGCAAACAGTCTACCACTATTTGTTTTTTTCATAAAAAAAGACCGTTATTATCTATGTGAAATTGGTGTAAATATGTCTCGTGGTGAAGACGAAAATCTGAAAGATGGGCAGGGAAAGGTAAACATGGATGTAAATCTTTGCATACATAGTTATTAGCATGCATCTTAGTTGGTATTGAAACATACCGTGGACAATGCGTTGGACGCTACTGAGCTGAGGAGGTTCCTATCCCGATCATCTGCTGTGGACTTGGCACAAAGTTTTGCCAACATCTCTGCCGTCACCACCCGGTACTCCTTACAGTATGCATCATCAGCAGCACCCATAATTGTGACCATCTGCTGAATGTCTGGAAACTTGTCACGAAACTCGTCCCCATGGGATCTTACAAGGGCGCTCAGTGCTTTCCCTGCCTCAGTTCTCACTCTCAGTGGGCTGTCCTGAGGCTCCATAAGTAGGCGTTGCAGCACGACAACAAAGTCGCTCATTGTTTCTTTACTCAGAGTTAGCCTTGAGAGGATTTCAGTAGCTCTCTCTGCCATTTCTTGGTCGCTACTGTTGCTCAAGACCCAAAGTATGTTTTCAGCTGTCCTGCCATATTTTGTTGTTGTTGTTAATTCATGGCATAATTTCCTACTGCTCTGTGCACCTTCTGTCCCGCTGGTGGTAAGCTTGCACACCACGCGTAAGGATTCCCTCACAATAATCTCAACTGTTGTTTCATCATTCTTGATGGACTTAAGTAGTCCACTGCTAATTGGCGCTATATATGATTTTGGGCACAAGATTCATGGTGTTGTACATCTCTGTGCAGTTCTCCTGGTCCGCAGCAAGCTCGCGAAGAATCACAAGTCCATGGAGGAAAAGGGCTTGCTGGTTTCTTCTTCCCGGTCCCGCTCTCGCTCTCGACAGCTGATCATTTACACCTCCTCGTGGCCGGTGTTTATTAGGTAGAGTTTGATTGGAAAGCAAGGTGGAGTGAGATGGTCCCGTCTCTGGTTCGTGGGGACGGGACGAACCCACATTTTCTGTTTGGTTGAGGAAGGAGTGAGGTCGTCGCTGCGGCCTGCCATTCTCACCTTCATGGAAATGGAATGTGAAATTAAGTAGGGATGATATGCAGTACGCTGCGCCAGGTATGTCTGCTAGGCGCAGCTGAAGCTTCGCGACAATTTTGTGCGATGTGGGCCTTGATATCTGCATCAAGGTTCTTGGTTTGTCTGACAATTTCTATTCTCGGAGGTTGAGGAATAGAAACAAGACTCTCTGATCGAGGAGCGTAGCATCCGAACAAGCCTGCAAACCAACTTGTCCGATCGAGGCACAAATCTGGTCAACCGCTGCATCTGAACGTTTTTTGTCCTTATTAATCACCAGTGAGTGTAGAGCTGAAACTGCAGAGATGTGGTCATCATCGGGGTGTTGAGATTGCAATAGCAATTCTGCTGCAAACGAGACTAGAGTAGTATTGATGGCGCGGAACACCTTGAGCGAGCACCAGGCTGTAGAACAAGATGAGTGCTGGCTTCAGATTGCCGTTGTTGTTGGGACCTCCGTACTCATCATGCCTTCTAGTATGATTAGTAATGCCAAGAAGACGAATAAGTGATAACGACATGCATGCTATTGCTAAGAACATGGGAGCTACAGCAACCAATACTGGCCCCATGGCGAGTAGGCCTACAATATTTGTTGCCCTTGCTGTGACCCACAAAACGTGTTTCAGTTGGTAGGAAGCAGCCGCAAAACCGATAAAGAATTTGGCCTCGGGTGCTGAGTTGTAGCCGATGATCCTATATATGAATGAATGGAGAGTTTTCATATTAATTACCACAAGTTCATGCATATATAACTATTGCTATCTTAGCCAAAAAAATTAAGATCATAATATCTATTCTGTTCCCCGTTAAAAAAACGTCTTCCATTATTTAAAAATACATAGAGTAACCCCTTGCTGGGCTATCCCTCCACATGGAGGATGACTTTGGAGCCCAGCAAAGCAGTGTAAAAACCAGCCCACAAGCCCAGTGCTTGTGCACTGTTGATCTCGGATTGAACCAACGGTTGAGATTGATCCTAGCAAGGATAAAAGAGGGGAAACCCTAGCCTCCATTCAGTGCAAGAGTGAGAGAGCTACTGCTGCTAGCAGAACACAAGAACACACACACCACAAACATGAGAGAAAAGAGGAAGAAGGAGAAGCAAATCTCTCCAGATTTGGTGGTCGTGGACCGATCTTCTTCAAGCCGGTGATTGTAGGCTCAAACATGGTTGTATTGGCACCAAATTTGGTGAGCTCATTCCTCACTTAAAGTACTTCGATCTGTTCTGTTGGTTTGAGGATTGGTTGAGTAGAGCACCAGATTTGAGAGGAGTTTTATTAGTTCGGGTCACTGCAGTTTCAGGACAGAGCAGTTTTGGTAGATGATCTGTTTGGGTGGTCAAACGGTGTCCGATTGAGCTGATTTTTGGTCAGTGGTTAGAGGACTCGTGGATCTACTTGTCTACCAAATTTTGTGCACAGTTGAGCTGTAGTTTGTGAGACATGAACTGATCATCAAGGTGGACAGAATCTATGCGTTCTCTGGTTTGCTGTTGTTATTCCTCTTGTGAGAAGGTTGTGGTTGTAGTTGTTGCCAAGTTGTAACTTGATGAGTGTGTTGCTGCTGGTGTAATCCTCTAGATGCTCTAGAGAAGACTCCTTCTACCCATTGTTGATTATAGTGGAAGTTTAGCTTGGAGTGGACCGGTTGGTCCCGTGGTTTTTACTCCTCACCTTGAGGAGGTTTTCCACGTAAATCGTTGTGTCTATTGTGTATTGTGATTGATTATTTCCGCTGCATATCTGGTGGTAGATGTTATCCTCATGATTCATCATAAGTTGAGGGATTAATTGTGTATTGTTTTGCCCCTTTATCCCAACAGAGTGGTATCAAAGCCGTGTTGGTTCAGATTGTGTTCAGCTTGTATTCACATTAATTACTTGTTGATTTGCCTTGTGGTGTAGATGGAAACAAATACCAGCAGAATGATCTCATTGAATGGTACAAATTATCAAGCTTGGAAAGGAAAGATGGAGGATTTACTCTATGTGAAAGAGTATTGGAAGCCAGTGTTTGCTGAAGTAAAGCCAAATGACAAATCTGATGATGAATGGTGGGTTCTTCATCGACAAGCTTGTGGGTTCATTCGATAATAGGTTGATGACAATGTTTTGAACCATATCATTGAGGAGACATATGCACGTACATTATGGCAGAAGCTAGAAGAGTTGTATGCCCGAAAGGAAGGTGCAAACAAGATGTTCATGATCAAGCAGTTGATGAATTTGAGGTACCAAGAGGGTGCTCCTATGGCTGATCATGTGAATGCATTCTAGGGCATTATTAATCAGCTTTCTTCCATGGGAATCTCATTTGAAGATGAGGATATGGCCCTGTTGCTACTTGGTTCATTGCCGGGCACTTGGGAGACTTTGAAGGTCACTTTGTGCAATTCAACCCCTAATGGTGTTGTCACTTGGAACCTTGTCAGGACCAAATTGATAAATGAGGAAACCAGAAGGCTAGCTAAAAGGGACAGTTCCTCCTCTAAATCCGAGGTGTTGGTCACCGAGTCATGAGGGAGAAGCAAGAGACGAGGTCCGAAGAAAGGTAGAGCTAAAAGTAGAAGCAAGTCAAGAGGTAGAAATGTTGAGGTTGAATGCTGGCACTGCCATGATAAGGGACACAAGAAGGCAATGCCGCAAGTGGAAAAAGGAAAAGGGTAAAAAGAAGCAGCAGCAAGAATAGAAACAAGACAGTGATAGTGACAGTGAGGTTGGCCGTATTACTTCAGCAGTTGAGGGGATTATGATTGTCACCGCAGATGAAGGTAATGATGGTTGTTCTAGTTCCACTATTGTTGAGAGGATCACTGTAGTTTCTGATGATGCAGCCATCAACCATGTGAATGGTGATGAGATGATTTGGATACCAGACAGCGGTGCTACCATACATGCTACATCTCACAGAGAATACTTCACAAACTACACAGCAGGTGATTTTGGTGTTGTGAAGATAGGCAACAATGATAAGGCATCAATCATTGGAAAGGGAGATGTGCATTTGGTGACTGCAAATGGTACCAAATTGGTCCTCAAGTCTGTGAGGCATGTTGAGGCTCTTCGGCTCAACATTATTTCAGTTGGTTTGCCTGATAATGATGGGTACTCGAGCAAGTTTGGAGATGAGAAGTACAAGCTCACCAAGGACAACTTGGTAGTTGCAAGAGGTAACCAAGTTTCAGTTCTGTACCATGTTATTGCTAACCTCTCTAGTGTTTCTGTCAATGCATTAGAGAAAGAAGATTCTTGTGTCCTATGGCACAAGAGACTTGGGCACATGAGTGAGAAGCGGATGACAGTGCTAGTGAAGAAAAATCTCTTGAAACGGGAGAAAAGTCATTTGAAAAAGTATGCAGATTGCCTAGCTGGGAAGCAACACAGGGTTGCTTTCAAAGGTCTACCTCCTCACAAGAAGCCAGAGTTACTGGACTTGGTGCATTCTGATGTTTGCAAAAATGTCAGTAAGATCAATTGGTGGTGCTAAGTACTTTGTCACTTTCATTGATGACTTCTCTAGGAAAGTTTAGGCTTTTCCCTTGAAGTCCAAAGATCAAGTGCTAAGTGTATTTTCAAGCAATTCGAAGCCTCAATTGAGAGAGAGACTGAGAAGAAGATCAAGTGCATTCGCACTAACAATGGAAGGGAATACATTGGGCTATTTGATGCATATTGCAAAGAGCAAGAGATTAGGCACCAATTTACACCTCCAAAGACACCAGTTGAATGGTATTGTTGAGAGGATGAACATGACAGTTGTGGAGAGAGTGAGATGCTTGCTGTCACATGCAAAGCTACACAAAAACTTCTAGGGTGAGGCTTTAATGACTGCAGTTTATCTTATTAATCTCTCACCATGTTATCCTTTGCAGGGAGATGTTCCTAACAGGATTTGGTATAACAAGGAAGTCTCCTATGACCACCTAAAAGTGTTTGGGTGCAAGGCCTTTGTTCATATTCCTCAAGATGAAAGGCTAAAGCTTGATGACAAGACACGGCAGTGTATCTTCTTGGGCTATGGATTAGATGAGTTCGAGTACAAGCTCTTTGATCCAATTGCAAAGAAGGTTATGAGAAGCCATGATGTTGTATTTCTTGAAGATCAAACAATTGAGGATATTATGAAGACAAAGGTGCAGGTTCCTCAGCAAGAGCCATTTGTTGATTTAGGCCTAGTTCCTGCAGCTCCAGCTCCACAACAAGCTGAAGGTGATGTTGAGGATGATGCACATGATGATGTGCATGGTACAGGTGATGAGAATGTTCCCCAACAACATGAGTTTGATGCTGAAATTGATGATCTGAATCAGCAGCCACCAGTACCAGAAGATCCACCAATTCCACTCAGAAGATCCAGTAGAGATCGAGTTCCTTCCACCAAGTATCCCTCAGATCAGTATGTGGTATTACTATCTGATGGTTCAAAACCTGAATATTTTGTAGATGCAATGGAAGATGAGCATAAGAAGGAGTGGATGAAAGCTATGCAAGAAGAGATGGATTCCTTGCATAAGAATCATACATATGAGTTGGTGAAGTTGCCCAAGGGCAAGAAAGCTTTGAAAAACAAGTGGGTCTACAGAACCAAGCAAGAAGAGCACACGCCACATCCAAGGTTCAAGGCCAGACTTGTTATGAAAGGATTTGGCGAGAGAAAAGGTGTTGACTTTGATGAGATCTTTTCTTCGTTTGTGAAAATGACATCAATTAGAGTGATCATTGGCTTGGCAGCTAGTCTCAACTTGGAGGTTGAACAAATGGATGTGAAGACAACCTTTCTCCATGGTGATTTGGAGGAAGAGATATACATGGAGCAGCCTGAGGGGTTTCTTGTGAAAGGCAAAGAAGACTATGTGTGCAGGTTGAAAAAGAGTCTCTATGGCCTGAAACAAGCACCAAGACAATGATATTTGAAATTTGACTCAGTTATGGGGGAGCAAGGCTAGAAAAGGAGTAGCTTAGACCATTGTGTGTACATTAAGAGGTTCTCAGGTGATGATTTTATCATCTTGTTGCTCTATGTTGATGATATGTTGATTGTTGGCAAGAATGTCTCTAGGATTGCAGAGCTGAAGAAAAAATTGAGCAAGTCCTTTGCCATGAAGGACTTGGGGCCAGCAAAGCAAATTCTTGAGATGAGAATTGAGAGAGACAGAAGTTCCAACAAGCTGTACTTGTCTCAAGAGAAGTATATTGAGAAAGTACTTTGCAAGTTTAGGATGGACAATGCAAATGCTGTGAGCTATCCTCTTGCAGCTCATTTCAAGTTAAAAACCAAGCAATGCCCTACTACTGATGAAAAGAAGAAGGAAATGTAGCATGTTCCTTATGCCTCAGCAGTTGGAAGTCACATGTATGCTATGGTGTGTGCAAAGCCTGACATTGCTCATGCGGTTAGTACTGTGAGCAGATTTATGTCAAATCTAGGAAGACCAAATTGGGAAGTTGTGAAGTGGATTTTGAGGTACCTCCGGGGTAGCACTAACTTGAAACTTTGTTTTGGGAAAAGTGATCCTGTGTTGGTTGCATACACAAATGCAGATTGGACCGGAGATGTTGATAGTAGAAAGTCTACTTCAGGTTATTTGATCACCTATGCAGGGGAGCTATGTCATGGCAAAGCAAGTTGCAGAAATGTGTTGCATTGTCCACAACTGAAGCTGAATTCATTGCAGCGACAGAGGCAAGCAAAGAGCTATTGTGGCTGAAAAAGTTTGTTAGAGAATTTGGGTTTGATCAAGGCAAGTATGTGCTATTTTGTGACAACCAAAGTGCTATTCACTTGAGTAAGCATAAAAGTTTTCACTCAAGGTCGAAGCATATTGATGTTTGTTATCATTGGATTCGAGATGTGTTGGGTTCTAAGCAAATGCAGCTTGAGAAAGTCCACACCGATGACAATGAGGCAGATATGTTGACTAAGGTGATGACAAGAGGAAAGCTCGAGGTTTGTTGCCGGTAGGTAGTGAGACCCTCTATGATGTCGGGAGGAGGAGTTTGTTGGGCTATCCCTTCACATGGATGATGACTTTGGAGCCTAGCAAAGCAGTAAAAACCAGCCCACAAGCCTAGTGCTTGTGCACCATTGATCTCGGATTGAACCAACGGTTGAGATTGATCCTAGCAAGGATAAAAGAGAGCAAACCCTAGCCTCCTTTCAGTGCAAGAGTGAGAGAGCTGCTGCTGCTAGCAGAACACAAGAATACACACCACAAACATGAGAGAAGAGAGCAAGAAGAAGGAGAAGCAAATATGTCTAGATTTGGTGGCTGTGGACCGATCTTCTTCAAGCCGGTGATTGGAGGCTCAAACGTGGTTGCATTGGCACCAAACTTGGTGAGCTCATTCCTCACTTAGAGTACTTTGATTTGTTCAGTTGGTTTGAGGATTGGTTGAGTAGAGCACCAGATTTGAGAGGAGTTTTGTCAGTTCGGGTCACTGCAGTTTTAGGACAGAGCAATTCTAGTAGATGATCTGTTTGGGTGGTCAAACCGGTGTACGATTCAGCTGATTTTTGGTCAGTGGTTAGGGGACTCGTGGATCTACTTGCCTACCAAATTTCGTGCACAGTTGAGCTGTAGTTTGTGAGACATGAACTGATTACCGAGGTGGACAGAATCTGTGCGTTCTCTGGTTTGCTGTTGTTATTCCTCTTGTGAGAAGGTTGTGGTTGTAGTTGTTGCCAAATTGTAACTTGATGAGTGTGTTGCTGCTGGTGTAATCCTCTAGATGCTCTAGAGAAGACTTCTTGTACCCATTGTTGATTATAGTAGAAGTTTGGTTGGAGTGGACCGGTTGGTCCCGTGGTTTTTACTCCTCACCTTAAGGAGGTTTTACACGTAAATCGTTGTCTATTGTGCATTGTGATTGATTATTTCCGCTGCATATCTGGTGGTAGATGTTATCCTCATGATTCATCATAAGTTGAGGGATTAATTGTGTATTGTTTTGCCCCTTTATCACAACACCCCTAACTTAGAATAACGCTAGAAAGTTAAAAATTATATATATATATATATGAAAAACATAATTTAGAATAACTCTAGAAAATTAAAAAATTATAACTAAATTATCTATATATATCATTATATTTTATACTTGCATGGCGAATCAAACTGCAAAGGAGCCGGGGGAAGGGATGCACGAGGAAGTCGTGGGAGCCATGCCTGGATGATCAGCTGGAAGGCTTGAATCTGCAAGGGGAGGAGGAGGATTTGGATTTTTTGGCGGAACTTGATGAATTAGTCAAGGATGTACGCTGGCTTGCCGTTTTTAGGGTTCATACTACAAAGCCATTCAGTCATGCGGCCTTGTTCAGTGCAATAAGAATTGCATGGGCAGCAGCAAAAGAGGTGACCATCAAGGTTCTTGGTGGAAATCCTTTCCTGGTCCAAATGCACAGTCTTGGTGATTGGAATAGTATGGTGGAAGGCGGGTCGTGCCCTATTCTGGGCAGCGGCAGTGGTGATCGAAGAGTATGTTGGGTTTTCTAACATGCTACGTACAAGCTGGACAAAATTCCGGTTTAGGCTCGCATTCAAGGGGGTGCTGGATAGATTGATGAAGAAGCGAGATTTGGCAGAGAAGGTTGCAATGAAGGTAGGAGACCCCATTAATGTAATCGTCAATGAAGCCAAGATTAACCCTGCACCCCATCTCCGTGGTCCATGCTAGGGTATTGCAACTTTCCTAAGTGGAGGAGAGTAATTTAGAAGGGGGTGTTTGGTTCCAGGGACTAAAGTTTAGTCCGTAGTTCCTGTGTTTTGCTGACGTCATGTAGTGTTTGGAATGGTGGAACGCATGTTCCAATTCCAAAGGAAAGGTTCAGGCCCTTTCACAAAACGTAAGAAAGAAGGGAACATATCTAGTGCAAACCAACCTCTCCGTGCAAACCGTGCAAACCAACTGCGGGGGAGAGGTGGGAGGGGGGATTTGCAAAAGTGTAATTAGGAGCGGGCGTAATTACACTTTTGCAAATCCCCCCTCCCACCTCTCCCCCGCAGTTGGTTTGCACGATTTGCACGGAGAGGTTGGTTTGCACTTGATACATTGCCAAGAAAAAAAATACATCTAGCTCTGGTTTTGTGTAAGACCGAGGCGAAAGGAGCAGAGAGGAGATAAACAAAAGACCTCTAGCTCATTCCTCGGTACTGCTGTTGTCCACATGCATGGGATCATTGGTCTAAGGCCTACTTTGTTAATTATTATAATAGAAAAAATGTCATTACCGTACCTCATTTCTCACGTTCGAATGGTATTAATGTTCTAACTGAAATTTTCGGTTCCTCCTTTCCAAACACTATATCCCACAAAATTCCTACGTTTTCCAACTCTTTGTTATAAACCTCTACTCACTTTCTATTCCTATATTTTTTCTATTCTTATGTTTTTTATTCCTGCATTCCAAACATGCCCTAAATTATATTATATATACCGAATCCGAAGGTCTCAAAAAATAAAAAAAAGGATTTTTTTTGAAAGATAAAAAAAAGGATTCAGAATAATGAAGAAAGATGGGCTGAGTATATATATATATATATATATATATATATATATATATATGAAAATTGAAAGCACGTTTCGTTTGGTTACCTGGCGGTTTCAACGAAGACGATGGCCGTGGTGAACCAGAAATCCATTCTCACGAGCGCGGTGGAGTAACCGCCGAGAAGGACGACGGTGGCCCAGACGAGGGCGAGCGTGCCGAGCCCCGACGCGAGCAGCTGCAGGAACGCCTCCGTTAGCAGCGACAGGTTGAGTGTTAGCTCCTGTGTATCCTGGCTCCAGGGCGCTAGTCGTCCCAAGGTGCGGATGCCGGGACGTATGATGGATTCAACCAGAGCCTGTGTCAATGCCGCCATTTGCTGCCTCACTCCCAAAGTCCAAAGCAAGCAGCAATCGGACTCAATCAAACCACCACGCAGCACCAACCAGCTTACTTATTTGCGGGTCTCCTTGAGTCGAGGAAGATGATCGATGATGACAGCTTCAGCCTTCAGGCCTAGGCCGGCAATTTGCCAGAGGCCTGTCTCAACCAAACTGGCTTTGTGCCTCCCTCGAGTAGTAGAGCAGGTTGCCTTTCTTTCAAACTAACTAGTAGTAGCAGATGCTTTGCTTGCATTTGGAGTATAAGCCGCCTCAATATTCGAAGCGCAAAGCAAAAATCAGCACCGCCCCCACCAGCAGCAGCACGAGGAAAAGCGCAACAATGCGATACTGGAATGAAGTCCACTAGTGCAGGGCGCCATCGTGTGCACATGCAGTTACAGTGAAACTTTGAAACATGGAGGAGACATGGTGACTAATAAGGTGTATATTGTTGGAATTTGTATGGGCTTACCCAATAACAAAATTCAGAAATTTTTAATAAATCTCAAAGGCCCATTCATATATGCAAGAGGCGATGTGTGGGAGCTCTTTTGTATCACTTTGCTTGTGAAAGTAAAGGTAGCCATACTTAAATATAGGTGTCCTCTCCACTTTCTCAAGTCTAGTGTGAGGAGAAAGGGAAGTCCACACGCACGCTCGCTCGCCGGGCGGGGCGCATCGCATGGGTGCGCGGCACCTCCGGCCACGCCAAAACGCATCCAATTAAGCTAGGGTTTTTGCCTCTTCTCGATCTCGCTGTTGCGCTGCCGCCGTAGTTTCCCCAGTCCGATCGTTTGCGTGCACCGGCGACCGGGCGAGCAGGTCTCTGGAACCCTCGTCTTTGCGATCCTGCACCGGGAGAAGGCGAATAAGGTTTTTGGGAAGCGCGCTTCGCGCGACTGCTCCCATATCCTTCACGATGGCTCGTCTTCCGAAGGCTGCATCGGCACGTCGTCTTCGTTGTCGTCAGGCTCGTGGGATCGACAACGGGAACGTTCCACCGCTGCTCATCGACGACCTCGACATCGACACATCGCCATCAGCTTCGTCGCCATCTGCATCTCTACCACCAACTACTACATCTACAACCGGAAGGTATAATTCTCATGATCTAATCTCTTTGTTCATACAGTCTAATCTATCTGGTGTACGAGCTATGCTTACATGAGTTATTGTGTTCATGCTATGCAACATGCTCATCTATCATGCTAGTATACTATACATATTTAATCTAGTTCATCAATTTGTCATGATTTATATTCTGATTTTAATCTGGAAACTGTCTAATTATTTAACAATCCAAAAATCTTATTATAGGTTTCCAGAATTATTTATGGCTAGTTTCGTTGACGCACTGAAGCCAGATAAGTTTTCTGGTGCGCATTTTAAGAGATGGTCTGTCAAGGCCACAGATTGGTTGACTGCCATGAAAGTTTTCTGGGTCAAAGATGGCTTGCCCGAGAAAAATATATCTGATGAAGAACAGAGAAAATTCCAGGAAGCTAATGAGATCTTTAAGGAAGCTGTGCGTAATGTGTTGTCAGATCATTTGTTTGATTCGATATGATGATGTACATGAGAGATGCAAAGCTTCCGTGGGATCATCCGAATGCTACCTATGATGCTTCAGATACGGGCAAGGAGTTGTACATCATGGAGAGATTTCATGACTATAAGATGGTTGCAAACAAATCTATAGTTGAGTAAGCTCATGAGGTGCAGCGCCTGGCTAAGAAACTTGAACTCCTTAATTGTGTCATACCTGATGAATTTGTGGCTAGGTGCATTATTGCAAAGTTACCTTCTTCATGGAGGAACTTCACCACAAGCCTTAAACACAAGAGACAGAAAATATCAGTTGAAAATCTGATAGCATCTCTTGATGTTGAAGAGAAGGCTCGGGCTAAAGACAACACTGAGAAGGAAAACGAGAAAAAAGCTAGCGCCCACTTTGTCCAGAGAAACCATGGCAAGAATAAATGAAAGTCTAAGCTTTTCAATGCCAAATCAACTACTGCTTTCAAGAAGAAGAAGAAAGACAAAGCAGAGATGCCTTGCTTCACTTGTGGAGAGCTTGGTCATTTTGCTGAAGATTGTCCGGAGCGAGCGGACCGAAAAGAGAAAAAGAAGGTCAACCTCGTGACTGCTAGCAAAGCTGATGACGGGTATGGTAATTTTCCTACTGTACTATCAGTGTTTCAATCTCCAAGTTGCTAGGTTGATACAGGTGCTAATATTTACGTGTGTGCTGATCTCTTTGTTTTCTTCTTACCAGGGGCTCCAAGGTTCCTCCATCCTGATGGGGAATGGGTCACATGCTTCTGTTCGTGGTGTTGGCACGGTAGATCTGAAGTTTACTTCGGGGAAAATCGTGTAACTGAAGAACGTGCAGCATGTCCCTACTATTCGCAAGAACCTTGTTAGCGTCTCCCTTCTTTTAAGAGATGGGTTTAAGGTAGTGTTAGAGTCCAATAAAGTAGTTATATCTAAGCATGGACAATTTATTGGTAAAGGCTATGATTGCGGAGGCTAATTCCGTCTATCTTTGGCAGATTTTTGTAATAAGTCAGTGAATCATATTTATGGCACAATTAATGATAGTTCGAGAGTTTGGCATTCTCGTTTATGTCATGTGAACTTTGGATTGATGTCATGTTTGTCTAGTTTGAGTTTAATTCTAGATTTCACTATTGCTAAAGGTTCTAAGTGCCATAGTTGTGTGCAATCTAAGCAACCTCGAAAGCCTCACAAAACAGCGGAGGAGAGAAACTTGGCTCCTCTAGAGCTCATATATTCTGATCTTTGCGAGATGAATGGTGTGCTGACAAAAGGTGGAAAGAGATATTTCATGACTTTAATTGATGATGTAACTAGATTTTGCTATGTTTACTTGCTGAAAACTAAAGATGAAACGCTAGACTACTTTAAAATCTATAAGGCTGAAGTTGAAAATCAACTAGAGAGAAAGATTAAACATCTAAGGTCAGATCGTGGTGGTGAATACTTTTCTATTTTATTTGATGAGTTCTATGCGGAACATGGTATTATTCATGAGAGGACAGCTCCCTATTCATTCGAATCAAACGGGATTGCCGAGAGGAAAAACCGCACGCTGACTGACTTGGTGAACGCCATGTTAGACACTGCTGATCTATCTAAAGCATGGTGGGGGAAGCTTTATTGATTGTGAGTCATGTCCTGAATAGAATTCCAAACAGAAATAAAGAGACAACACCATATGAGAATTCGGTCGGAAGAAAACCATCACTTTCATACTTGCGCACGTGGGGATATTTGGCGAAAGTCAATGTTCCAATTTCTAAGAAGCGTAAGCTTGGACCGAAGACTGTGGATTGTGTCTTTCTAGGATATGCTCACCACAGCATTGCCTATAGATTTTTAGTAGTAAAATCTGAAGTTCCTGATATGCATATGGATACAATTTTTGAATCGCGTGATGCTACATTTTTTGAGAACATATTTCCTATGAAAGATATGCGTAGCGATGCTAAATTTTCCTCTGAAATAGCTCCTAATGTTACTACACTTATCGAGTATCTTGTTGAGCCATTTGAGCAACCACTTAAAGAAGTTCCTAAGGATGACAATGAAGTTCCTGTGAGGAACAAGAGACAAAGGATTGCAAAGTCTTTTGGTGATGATTTCATTGTGTACCTTGTGGACGATACTCCCACTTCTATTACAGATGCATATGCATCTCTAGATGTAGATGATTGGAAAGAAGCTGTTCGTAGTGAGATGGACTCGATTCTTTCTAATGGAACTTGGGAGTTATCTGAGCTACCATTTGGTTGTAAATCTATTGGGTGTAAGTGGGTGTTCAAAAAGAAGCTAAGACCTGATGGTATTATTGACAAGTACAAGGCTCGGCTAGTGGCTAAGGGTTATATCTAGAAGGAAGGCGAGGATTACTTTGATACTTATTCACCTGTTGCTAGAATGACCACTATTCGAGTGCTACTTTCCCTAACTGCCTCATATGGTCTTCTCGTTCATCAAATGAACGTGAAGACAGCTTTTCTTAATGAAGAGTTGGATGAGATGATTTATATGGATAAGTCTGATGGGTTTGTAGTAAAAAATGAAGAGCAAAAAGTGTGTAAGTTACTGAAATATTTGTATGGCTTGAAACAAGCACCTAAACAATGGCATGAGAAGTTTGACGCTACTTTAACTAGTGCAGGCTTTGCTGTTAATGAGGCTGATAGGTGTGTGTATTATCGACATAGTGGGGGCCAAACTGTTATATTATGTTTATATGTTGATGACATTCTAATTTTTGGAACAAACATTGATGTTATTAATGAGGTCAAGTCTTTCCTGCAAAGAGTTTTGACATGAAAGATCTAGGAGAAGCTGATGTAATTTTGAACATTAAGATGATTAAGGAAGAGAGTGGGATTACTTTGTTGCAATCTCACTATGTTGAGAAGGTCTTGAGCCGATTTGGCTTTATGGATAGCAAGCCTTCTCCAACACCTTATGATCCTAGTGTGACATTGAGAAAGAACAAGAAGATTGCTAGAGATCAATTGAAGTACTCTCAGTAATTGGTTCACTCATATATCTAGCTAGCGCAACCAGACTAGATATCTCTTTTGCTGTGAGCAAGTTGAGTAGGTACATGTCTAACCCAGGTGATGATCATTGGCATGCACTTGAAAGGGTCTTGCGCTATCTCAAAGGTACAATGAGTTTTGGGATTCACTATTCTGGGCACCCAGCTGTGCTAGAGGGATATAGTGATGCGAACTGAATTTCTGATATGGATCAAATCTACGCCACTAGTGGGTATGTCTTTACACTTGGAGGTGGCGCAGTGTCATGGAGGTCATGTAAACAAACTATTTTGACTAAATCAAACATGGAAGCAGAACTTACTGCTTTGGATATAGCTTCTGCAGAGGCAGAGTGGCTGAGTGAGCTCTTGTCTGACTTACCGGTGGTTGAAAAACCAATACCGGCTATCCTTATGAACTGTGATAATCAAACAGTGATCACTAAAGTGAATAGTGCTAAGGATAATGCGAAGTCAACAAGACACGTTAAAAGACATTCGAAGTCTGTCAGGAAGTTGAGAAACTCTAGAGTAATAGCTGTGGCTTATGTGCAAACAGACAAAAACCTGGCAGATCCCTTTACAAAAGGGCTATCACGGAATGTGAGAGAAAACGCATCAAGGGAGATGGGTATGAGACCCATGTGAGTTTGCAGCAGTAGTAACCCAACCTTTTTTTATCAAAGATCCCATGACTAAGGATCTGGGAAGAACAAGCTATTGGTAAACTGAGGAGAGTATAATTATAACCCTCTCTATGTGAAGATGCAATACTCTCAAAAGCAATGATGCACTATATGGTAGGTAGACGAATGCCTTAATGTGTTCTATTGGTTTTAATAAGCAAAGATGCTGTCCTACGTAGCAATCTTGAAAGAACATACCTATATGAGTTTGACTGTATAACGTCGCAGTCAATGAGACTTGGGTGATCTCTAGTAAGCTCATGAAGAGACCAAGGAGTATGACATTTATGCTCCACCCACGGAGTAAGGCTACTGGCAGCTAGGTACTCGTTTGGCTTTGAGTAAAGCTCATTTGCACAAAACTTGTTCAAGGCATAGTCCATTGTTCAAGTTGTGGATGAGTGTAGCTTGAGGTTCTAGGCGGAAGTTCAACTTCACAGTCTCTGCTGAAACACTGGTATATCAAACAGTAGTGAGAACAGGCAAATCTCTAAATGGGTATTTGAGATCTGGTTGGGAATTGTTGGAATTTATATGCGCTTGGCACAATAACAAAATTCAGAAATTTCTAATAAATCTCAAAGGCCCATTCATGTGTGCAAGAGGAGATGTGTGGGAGCTCTTTAGTACCACCTTGCCTGTGGAAGTGGAGGTAGCCATACTTAAATATGGGAGTCCTCTCCACTTCCTCAAATCTAGTGTGGGAAGGAGAAAGGGAAGTCCACACGCGCGCTCGCTCGCTTGCCTCGCCGGGCGTGGCGTGGCGGGGCGCATCACACGGGTGCGCGGCACCTGCGTGAATGGTCCGCCGAAATCCGGCTCCTCGCCTTGCGGGAGCACGGTCTCCTTGCGTGAATGGTCTGCATCGACACGTCGTCTTCAAGCTCATGGGATCGACAACGGGAACATTCCACCGCCGCTCATCGACGACCTCGACATCGACACATCACCATCAGCTTCATCGCCATCTGCATCTCCACCGCCAACTACTACATCTACAACCAGAAGGTATAATTCTCGTGATCTATTCTCTTTGTTCATACAGTCTAATCTATCTGGTGTACGAGTTATGCTTACATCAGTTATTGTGTTCATGCTATGCAACATGCTCATCTATCATGCTAGTATACTATACATGTTTAATCTATATTTTGATTTTAATCTGGAAACTATCTAATTATTTAACATATAGTAGACATATATTTAGGATGTATATATTACATATATGTTGTTCATGTTTGGAAAATGCGCGGTGACTAATAAGAATATTAAATATGTTTGTTCTGGTATGGACATAGCCGGCGGTGATGCACGGAGATATATTACATGTGCTGTGATGCATGGGGATATACTATATATGCTGACAGAGTGTACAAAGATCAGGTCTGGAGACATATTTTTCATGAACAGGAGGGTTTCTTGTTTGGTGGTAGTCTGAAACCCTCTCGAGGCCTATAGTAAGGAAACGACGGGGATCTTCGATATTGTAACATGGATATGTGAGCCACGAAGGTCAGGCATCATTTTGGCCCGAAAAGACTAATCTTATGAACAGCACAAAGAGGCAAATTGCTGGGATCAGCCTTGGCGAGGGTTTAAAGATGGCGGTGAAGGCTCCGGACGACGCAGACTCGAGGCGCCGCAGAAGACAAAGAAGGAGGTCGCCAGGGCAAAGATAGACAGGAAGAGCCAGTCGGCAGGAGTGGACCGACGAAGACAAGCCTGCGCCGGCCAAAGGGGGCTCCCCCGAGATGAGCGGGCCCTGAACAACGAAATGGGCCTCCAATGGACACGAGAATAAAGCCCACGAAGCAAAATGGTTGGGGAAGGAGAAAGCCCAAGATGCCCTCGAAGGCTCTTGTTTTGTACGGAATATCCTGAGGATATGTCCGTACCGTCTAGGGGCACGATTGTAACTAAGCTTCCTCATCGTTCGATGATTATTTTTTCTAATATAAAAATAATTATGTGTAGCAAAGATTGGAAATATATTTATTCGGCGTGTAATATTTCTCCGTGGCTGAGCCTATGACCCGTGGGCCCTACATCTTCCAACATTGTCCGACTCAGTTTTTGAAAAAGAATAATGATTTCTGGATTGGATATTAAACTTCCGTCACGTGGTTTCTAGAAGAATGAAAAAGGAGAGACGGGAAGTTGTTTAATTTATACTTCTTGGTTGAACTGCTGGGCCACATGTCACTGACATAAACTCTCATGTAAAGAATATATCGGGCTGGAGATAGAATCTTGGCAAACACGTACGAGAGATATTCGGTGAAAGAATAGTGCGTGCTGTTAGTCGATCTAATATAATCACGTTTGCTTAGCTGAGAGACAAACGCCAGGTCCTCCTGCCCCTACAGAAACCGGCGCCCTGGCCAACCGAAGCCCTTGGGTTCCACGCATACTCGCAAGTCGCAACACGCCGAAGCCCGGCTGCTCATCTCGCGGAGAAGACGCACACGCAACACGCCAAGCCCCCGTTCGTGCCATCTTCTGCGCCAAGCACAGCGTCCACCAAGTCAAGCATCCTCTTCACCATGCCGGCTGTCATGTTTCCTGGTGAGCGCACAATGCAGATGCATTGACAAATCCACATGAGCATTAAAATATGGGAACATATGCCGTGCGACATCAGAAGGCCAGCAACTCGGCGACATCAGAACCCTCGCCGCGCGAGGTCGTTGTCGAGTTACTGATGATGAAGACAAGCCATATAAGATCAAGACGCGCGAGACTAGAAATCCCCGCTCGCCTCTCGCCGTGATGATGAAAATTGAGGTGCGCGAGACGGGAAAACCCCACTCACCGTGACGATGGAATCGAGATGTGCGAGACCGGAAAACCCCGCTCGTTGCAACGCCCGAGACGGAAACCCCTACTCGTCGTGATGATGACATGTGAGACGAGAACACCTCGTCCCGCTATGAGAAAAATATCAACGCCGGGAGGCTGTCAATCTAAGCATTTGAGCAAGCATCGTCCAAGCAATACTCATACCGCTAATTGTTGTGGATTATCTTATAATAGTTCACTACACGTCTAGTACCAACAAGGCTAGACGAAACTACGGCCAAGTGCCGACAAGGCAAGGTCACTTCTCCATCAACACGTTCCAATTAACGGGATCGGGCACATCGTTGCTAGACACCGACGAGGCAAAGGCAACTCACACACGTCCATGTTAATGAAGGCAGGCCTACATGGCTGGGAACCGACGAGGCGAAAGTCACCCCCTTCATCAACAATATGTTTCGTTTTATTCTGACATGGCGATGGCGATGTCACGATCGAGCTTCGGCGACATAAAGCCACCTATAATTATTACACCATGTATTGCATATGGCTGAATATTTGACGACCATGAAAGTGCAGCTTAATCGGAGGTTTTTCGCAAGCTCGTCTTGCGGTTATAATTAACCGGACGCGCCAAATAGGCCCTGCGAATCGGCGAACTACGCAATCTTCTACAAGTCAGACCTCTCCTTAAGCATGACGCTGAAGACGGAAGAAGATATTTTTTCGTTGATCATGTATTTTGTATATTCAAGAAAGAATTAATGAAATATATGGTTCTCGAATGTGTGCATGTGAATTAATGAAATATATGGTTCTCAAATGTGTGCATGTGTCCCTGTGTGCATTATTATTTTTATTTATGTCTTCTCAGTTTTCGACCAAACACTTACGTATAGAGACCTATAAAAGGGAGAAGAGTGAGCCCTGAAAGAGTTAGTTGAACTCCATTTAATAAAACTCTAATTGTTCGCGGTCCCCATTGAGTCCCATTGAATCGCTTAAGACTGTCTCAAACAGGCTACCCAAAGTGCTACCCATACCCAAAATACATATCTCATAGGAAAGAATTGGCCTCCAACAGAGTAGGCAAAGGGGATACCTATTTTGCGTCGGAGGTAGGAGAGGACTCAAATATGCCTCTCTCTCTCTCTCTCTACCCAAATCTGCTCAACCAACCACGGTGGACTTCGCAGTGTCCAGCATCTTCTTCCTGACGACCCCCAGCTCCGGTCCGCTCACAGTTTGGGCGCTAGCAGTCAGCTCCGGTCCGCTCGCCGCCGGCCGACCACAGCCCCGGCCCGACTCCGCCCCATGCTGGATCTGGCGGGCGAGGGGGAGGCAGAGCAGGAGGAGTTCTACGAGTCGCTGGACCGGATCCTCTCCTCCTCCTGCTCCTCCACCTCCACCTCCGACGACGACGCCGACCGCCACCGTGGCTGCAGCAGGCGCCACCACCACCAGCCGCCGCCCTCGCCGCGGCCGCACGCATCCTCCGAGCCCGCATCCGTCGAGGAGCGCCGCCGTCTCCTGCTTCAGCGCCTCGGCCTCGGCACCGACCCGCCGCCGCCCCATCCACCCCCAGCGCCGGCGAGCTGCGCCGTGCGGGTGGCCTCCAACCCTGACCTCGTCGCGCGCCGCAGGACCCTTTTGGGTTCGCTGTTGGAGAAAAGAGATTTTAGGTGGCTGACCCGGTGACTGTGGGTGACCCAGTTTGTAGAATAGGTCTTGTGTTTAGGTTTGGACTGTTGGAGACAGTCTAAGGTCTTGGCACCTGCCGGAGGCCATCCTTGGCACCTGTCGAGAACTATTTCCCAACATTTGAGTTGGGAACCAAGCTCCTCCGCATGTCGCAAAATGGTGAGACACACCTGTCTTTGATCGGCGACGCCCGCTGTAACAAGCAACATAATGAATTAACTGGTGATAGAAGCGAAACGATGAAACTGGATGTATTTTTTTAATAATAACATAAAGGAAGAACATGATCGACCTTTGGAGTGGTTTCTCATTCTTAAATTTAATGAGCATTTGTAGCACTGGTATTTTAGTAGTAATATAATATAACAAGCACAGCTTAAAACATTCATTGCATGGTGGTGCCTGCCGTACGTGGTGGATCAAGAAGCGCAAAAGCGTAGTCTGCTGGAGATGCATGCTCTGCTGTGTTGTTGGGCTGCACTGGGCCGTGTCTTATTCGTTGGGCTTGGGCCAAAAGCCAGACAGGAGTTTGATTTTATTTGGAAAAAGTACACGTTACTTTCTCAACTTTTGCGAAAGTCAGTTTTTCTTTCCTGAACTGCAAACCCGGAAAAATCACCTCCAACTTTTAAAACCGTTTGTTTTACCTCCCTAATCCGGTTATAAGCAATTTTAAAGACGATTTTGTCTTTTTCTTTTTTATTTATTTCAGCTTAAGAAAGATAGGTTCAACGTTGCTTCCACATTGTCCAAAACTGTAAAGATGTCCCCAAACTGTGGAACAATAATACCAAGTGTAGCCCAACAAGCTTATGTAAAAGGAGAGATTAGAAAGAGGTGGTCTAAAGTTTGTCCAGAGCCATATTTTGCGTTTCAAAAGAGATCTGATGTTCAAAGTTCAAACGATTTTTGTGCAACAGCTAGAAAAAAAAAAAGATCTTTCTTTTGTTCGGACAAGATGATTTTCACAGCCATTTAAAAATTGGGTGGACTGGCCTGGTTCCTGTCATGTGCCCACGTGCGGCCACGCCTATAAAAGGAAGTGGCGAACCAGGGACGTGCGCGCATGGTTCGGAAGTGAGCCGGTTTTAGTTTGCTTTTTGGGCATCAACATAATGAACAAGCTACGTCCCAGCATCCTCCTGAGACACGTGCAATAGAATCCAGATTAGCTGATGTCAACATTTGGAGTGTGTTTTTGAAATTTTTAAAAGCTATAGTTTACCAACTAAGCAACCAATTAAAATACTGATTGCACCATTGTGTTTCTTACACTAAATCACCAAAATAAGACCCCAGTGGATATATTTAGATAAAATCTCATTAATGAACATTTATCTTCTAAAGATAAAATATTTTTTATAGAGCAGAGACGATGTTCTAGGTTCCAAAAACAATGTGCTACCTTCATAAAAATAGTGTTCTAGGTTCAGAAGAAAAATATTCTCGCTCCCTCCCGCGCTTGCGCACTTGAAAACAATAGAAAAAATGGTGCATAAAAGAGTTCGAACCCCAGACCTATGACTTACGAAAATCATTCTCCACCACTAAGGTTTCTAGTTATGAAATTTTTATAGTATTATATACCGTATCAGACCATTTAAGTAAAAATTTTCACTTAAATAATATTCTAGAAAAATAATATACCATGTGACACACTACTACATGATTCATTTTGCGTGACACCCCCCTAGTATTAACCGTGACGGGCACAAGACGCGGCTGTCACGGTTATTGGGTGGCCGTCACGGTTAATAACCTTTAACCATGGCGGGCACATGCAACATGCCCGTCACGGTTAATCCATTAACCGTGACGGGCGTTCTAATGGGTCCGTCACGGTTAATGGTGATTAACCGTGACGGGCAACTTGCAAAGGCCCGCCACGGTTAATCTTTCCCTATTTAACCAACAACCAGCCCCCTCTTCTTTCCCACGGGTCTTCTTCTTCCAACACTTGGGGGAGGAGGCTTTGCCCTAAAATTTGACAAACTTTTTAAATTGATGTTTAGGCCTTAGATTTGGGGGAGGAGGACAACACAAAAGGTACATAAAGGCTCTCTCCCCACCCTTCTCTCTCTTTTTTCTCTTTTTTTCTTAAGTTCTAGATCTAGATCTAGATCCATTCATGGTGGGAATAGAAAATCTTGTGTATGGATGAAAGTTTTGTATGGATAAAGGCTTGAGTATGGAGAATGGCTCTCTTCTCACCCTTCTCTCTCCTCCCATATCCTCTTTCTCTCTCTTTTCCATCATTTAGGCTATTGGATCTATGTGTGTACTACACTATGGATGAAGGTTTTTTCTCTTTTCTAATAATTTATCTTTATTTGTTGCTTGTGTGTGTAAGGTTGGCAAGTATGATTGACAGGTCCGAATGGATGTACGGGTTGGATAGAGTGAATGATCCACGGTACCTGGATGAAGTGAGGAAGTTTATTACTGTTGCGAAAAGGCACCGTGAGAGATTGAAGCGGATTGCAACCATATGTACGTGTTCTCTATCTCTCTCCATATGTCCCTGCATCCGTATACGCACTTCGTCAATTCAACTTATGCCACGAGATGACTTGTACTTGCAGGATGATGGCCCATGTAAGCAAACAATGCGACCTTGGTATTCTCTATCTCTCTCCATTGCATGTTAATGAGGCCAATATCACTGGTTTCGAGCTATTGGACGACCACAAGGACCTCATTAACCTGACCAAGCGTGAGAGAGAGAAGTACTGCAAAAAAGCCCTCAACACCGAGAAGTTGAAAGTGGGGAAGTACATCTTAGGAGTAATGAAGAAGGTCAGGAGAGATGGGTGTATCTTGGCTGCCATCCACTACGGGTTAGTCGAAAACATGTCTGTATATGGGATAAGTGGCTAGCTAGGATCATCCATTCTCATCATAGTTTTTATTTTGTTTGAATGGTGCAGCGAGGGCCCCCATGGGCACTGGATTGCATTCATCATCTATCCTCAGGAAGGCAGGGCCTGCGTATTTGACTCATTGAGGTCATCAAACAAAGCAGGGTACAAACACTTTGAAGATTGCTTGAAATTGTAAGTCAAAGAACTTCTGATTAGTTAACTTTTATCATACGTTTTCAAATTGATCCTAACACTAGTGGACTCCATACAACGCTTATAAGGAGTACTTAAAGGAGCCAAGTGAATTTGATCGAAGGACAGAGAAGTTCAAGAAGAAGCATGGCAATAAAATGAAAATCAGGCGCCAGTTCCCGGTACGTGTACTCCAACGTTCACTTATACTTTTCGCACACCGAGCATATATTGTTGATCTCTACCAAAGTGTTCTAATGCGTGTGTACCTTGCAGTGCGCCAAACAACCACCAGGAACAGTATTGTGTGGCTACTACGTCTGTGAGTACCTAAGGGCCTGCAACAAGTACGACCAAAGCTAGCGGCAGCTCAAGAAAGGAATAGACTGGTGGCAAAAGGAGCAGAACACCAATCACCACAACTTCGATCAAACAGTGGCAGACTTGTACAAGTTTGTCACAGACCAAGTAGCGCATGAAGGGAAACCGTTCTTCAATGAACTCAGCCCGTTAGGGCAGCTTCCCGAGTACGAAAAGCTCAGGAAATGGAGCACCATGCTACGCGACGAGCTCAGGGATTACACTTTCAACATGGACTTTGTACAAAATTAGTTTGTTTCATCGAGACATGTAATATGAAACTTTAACGACTTCGTCGGTTTTGTATGGATGACAATGAGAACAACTAAGTTAATGTATTTATGTATATGTCATGTGTTATGTCTTTGTTTGATTTGTTAAATATGGGTTCGATTTGAATTCAAATTCGAATTAATATGCCTGCTGCTGTATTTTTTTTTAAATCCAGAAAATATTAACCATGGCGGGCGTTGTAAACAGTCCGTCACGGTTAATAGTGCTCGTCACGGTTAACACAATTAACGGTGATGGGCAGCTAAATCAGCCCAACACGGTTAACACAATTAACGGTGACGGTCACCTAAAGCGGCCCGACACGGTTAATTATATTAACCGTGACGGGCAAATGAGCCCGCCACGGTTAGTCACGATTAACCGTGACAGGGTGACCGCGACGGGCTCATTTGCTCGTCACGGTTAATTAAAAGCGCCCGTCACGGTTAAACATTCCTGTAGTAGTGACATATCATGAAATATAAAAAGCTAGATGATATATAAAATAAAATAAAAAGGATGGAATGACAAAGATAGTAATAAAAATAATAGATGAAGGTAAGGAAAAACAACTAATCATGAAACATCCCATTTATATATATATCATAGAATATCACATGTATACTAGGTGAACATCACGTATGTAACATGACATTCATACTACGTGAAATATTATATAACATCACATAATACATTATAGAACATCACATGTATGATATGTGAACATTACATGTATAATGCATGGACATCACGAAATACATTGTACAACATATATATGTATAATATGTGAACATTTTATGCTACATGAACACCATAAACTACATAATATAACATCACATGTATACTACACAAGCATCATAAAAATACATCATAAAATATCACATGAATAGTACGTGAACATCACATGTGTACTGCGTGAATATTACAAAGTACATAAAACATCATATATATACTACGTGAGCATGACAAAATAAATCATACAACATTATAATATATATCATAGAACGTCTCATTTATACAACGTAAACATCACGTGTATCTAGAAATAAAAAGAGTAAAATACAAAATTTTTAAAGTCAACAAATAGAGTAAAATAACAAAAAATAGAAAATAAAAACATAAAATAACAAATGCTAAATATATTGAAAAATTAATTAATTAATTAATTAAGAAAATGGAAAAGAAATT